ACAACAGGGGGTGTTTTTAGAGATATAGAAGGTAGAGTGGTGACCTTGTATTTAGGACCCTTGGAGCATGGTGATGCATTGATAGCAGAACTGGTAGGTCTACTACAGGGGCTAAGGCTTGCGATACAATTGGGCTTCCACAATCAATGTTTTAAAACACAGAGGCATGACGTGAGCGTTCCACTACCTAGAGGCATGAGGCGTAGTTCAGAACACAAGAGGTGCATGAGGCGTACGCCTCTAGCATGCCTCATGAAAAAAGCGCAAGAGGCATACGCCTCAAGGCGTTTTGAGAGCGCCTCCAGGCGTACGCCTCAAAAAGGTTAACCACCAACTTTAGGTTTGCAATTCCTTCTCCATTCTCCCCATAGCAAAAGATCAAGATATCATCTACAAATTGAAAGTGAGTCGCCAATACTCTCTCTTCCTACTGTACAACCTCTGAAGAGTTTCAAACAATTGCTTCTTGAGATCAGCTTACTAAAAAACCTCAGCCACCAAGATGAACAGAAAAGGTGAAAGAGAATCACCTTGTCTAAGTCCTCGGATCCCCTCAAAGAAATCAACCACTAACCCATTAACAATGACCGAGAAGTGACTAGTTTGCAAACACCCTCTAATCCACTTGCACCACAACCCTTCAAAGCCATAGTTTCTTAAAACGTTAATTAGGAACCAACAAGATCATAGGATTTCTCCAGGTCAATTTGATAGAAACACCCTTTTCCTTTATCTTTTTTTAAGCCTCCACGCATTCATTCGCAATTAAAATTTGGTCAACAATCTGTCTATCCTGAATAAAGGCCCCTTAAGCCTATGAGATCAATGAGGGAAGCACCTTTTTTATCCTTAATGACAGCAATTTAGCAATAATCTTTAAATGCTAGACACTAAACTGATAGGCCTGAAATCTTTTGGGTGCCAAGCATCACTCTTCCTCACGATTAACCCATTCCCCATCATCCTCTTCTTCCTATCGATATTCTTTGTCTCTAGAATATCTGGGATTAGGTTTGTCCTGATGAGGGATTTGATGTTTAATCCAATATAGAGAGCTTGTCTTCGACCCCTCTGCTCATAGTCAAGTGACAGACCTTCCTGCGGTCTCCCATCAGGAAAAGGGGGGAAAAAAACCTCTTTAGACGTGACGTAAGAGGCCATGTGAGGCCTCACCTTTGCCTCTTTTTAAAGCTTCCACGTAGGAGGCTCCCCTTTTACTTACTTCTACATGATGGGATTCAAACTTACTCAAAATCTTCCTTTGAAGGCAGGTTTCCTGAACCTCCCTCACCTCTTCGTCTTGCTCAAGCCACACTTCCCACCAGCATCTCCTTCTCTTCCTACCTTCTTCCCCCAGCACCGCTTCAACTGTCAACACCAGCCACAACCACTGCCAACATCCACCGGTGAACAGTTCCAGGGAGCATGGGATACACTTTAGTTTGGCTCCTAAAATCTTTTATTTTGTCGCCTACAAAATCACCATGGAACTCTTATCCTCCCTTATTTTGGGAATGAAATTTCCACCAGTTTCTTCCAACAGAAAACTTTTCTTCTCCACTTCTCCCACTTGGTCGCTAGTGTGAAGCAAACCTAACATATTTTTCCTATGTGTTCTCTGTGTGACTCCCTTGTTCTACTCACAAAACTTGAAAATGTTTTTTGGATCAAAATATTTCAGATGGTAGAGTTTGGGTCCCCTTGCCTGATGGCCTATTCACTTGTGCTTCTTTTTTTAACCTCCTAGTTCTATCTGAGCCTGTGGAGTGAACTTCCTGGTAAGAAAAATCTGGTCTAAATCTATAACTCCTAAAGTACAAGCTTTGTGCTGGGAAGTATTTCTTGGAAAGATCAATACATGTGACTTGCTATAGAAAAGAAGGCAAAATAAGTATCTATCTCCTCACATGTGTTTCTTTTCAAGAATAGTGGTGAGACTCTTTCCCATTTATTAATATCATGTTCCTTTGTATCTTGTATTTGTTAGACAGTTTTTGTATGCCCTTATCTTCAATCAGAACGATGTACATTATGAGTTTATTGTAAATGAATAAAAGTACATATTTGATTCATGTTCCTCTGGTATGTTTCTGTGTAATACCCTTAAACTGCACACTTAATGAGACTCGTGTTAGTTTAGAATGTTCACAACCAGTGGGTCGGTCTGGGGAGACCTATCCTGATAAGGCTGACACTAATGTGCCACCAAGTCGGTTGGGGTGGCCTAT